CTAGATAAAAATAACAGGGAATAAAAGCTGCTGTCAATTGTTTGTCAGTTGCTTTCAGGTTCCAGAAAATAAAAGAAGGGAAGAATAGTTAGTATAATAAGGAAGTGAAAAGGTGGCATAAGTTATAATTTTCATATCCTCAGGACCCATCACTGACCCTCCCCATATAACATAGCCCCCTTCACCCTGTTCTTCTCTTCCCTTTCACCACATTGTGGTTTCTCTGTTGCACTTTTTAAAAAATTATCTTTGTGTTTTTATTGTATGTTTTCCCCCAAATTGAAAGTGAGTTCCATTTAAGATGGATCTTATTTTTCTTACTCATCTCCATAACTACAACACTAAGAACCAAACTTGGGTACATCAATGGTGCTCAATGAATGAAAAGAAAAAGGATTCAATGCCAGTAATAAGAGAAGTAAGTTGGAGGCCAATCATGAAGGGCTTTATACACCAGAAAACAGACTTGAGACTTTCAATTAATTAAAAACAAATGAAGAGTTTTAAGTAGAAGGATTTGTCTTTTATTTTTATTTATTTTTTAAAAGATTTTTATTTATTTATTTGACAGAGATTACAAGTAGGCAGAGAGGTAGGCAGAGAGAGAGAGGAGGAAGGAGGCTCCCTGCTGAGCAGAGAGCCCGATGCAGGGCTCGATCCCAGGACCCTGAGATCATGACCTGAGCCAAAGGCAGAGGCTTAACCCACTGAGCCACCCAGGCGCCCCAGGATTTGTCTTTTAAAATAATCATTTATTGTTGTGTCAAGGATAGATTTGAGGGACTGAAGAAGAGGATCATTGTGGTTGAGATCACTAGAATGGCAGTAGGAAGGATGGAAAATGGAAAATGATAAATTTGAGATTTAGTAAGAAAGTATAGTTAACAGGGCTGGGTCGTTGATATGAGAGAATGAGAAGACTTAGTGTGAGGTGAACAACTGCCAACACAGTGTAACATTTCAATGAGGAGGAGGATGTAGTTGTGTTTGTTTGCTGCTTGTCTTGTGGAATCTGGTAGAGATTCATTAACTTTCATAAATATGAGTAAATATGAGGTGTGTGAATCATCCAAAGGTGGTCAGGAAAGAACCTAACTAGAGAAGTGTCTAATCAGCAAAGAGAGATCTGGAGGCCATAAGCACAGAGGAGGAATTGAATCCATGGTAATAGATGATGTTGACTCATGAGAAACTTCAGAGTTAGAATAGAAGACTGTATCTCTGAGAAACTCAAGACAAGGAGGTAGGGCCCACAAAGTAGAGTGTGGTAGACCTGAGGGAGGGAAACCTGAAGAACCTGGGTCATGGGAGCCATGGTGAGAGTGAGCTCCAAGATAGAAGCAGTCTTCAATATGGTGGTTCTAAACACATCTCCGGGACAAAAGTTCTTCTGACTGGTGCATCTAATTAATAAATGTTTAGGTTTTATTTTCTCATACTTTTGTGTTTGAGGAGTAATATTGAGGAAAGATTGTTGCTTAAAATTGAATCAGGGCTCGAACAGAACACTGGACAATGGGACTATTGACATGGTGGTCCAGAAGAATGAACCAGATTGGAGTGAGAATGCCCCAAAGAATAGCAACCAGTAGGGATGGAAAGAAGGCTGTAATTCTGAATCATACTGGGGTGTGTTGTATGTCATGAGTATGTTGGGCATGGGCTCAAGTAAGAACTGTTGTCCATATCTTAGTTATTAGCCCTAGAGTTCCAAACCTCCCAAGTCCCAAGCTTGCTGCATCTGGATGGACAGTGAGGGTGGAGGAGGAGAAAAAAGAGCTGAAATTGATGAAAGAAGTCAGAGAAGAGGAGGGGGAAAGAGTCCCTTTAGGCTCAACACTCGGGAGTTGTTCACAACTAGCAGAACCCTGGCAGGCATAAATGATGTTTGCATATCTCTGCTGTCATTGGAGATAGTCATTGGATTAATATGGAAATTGAATTTCTGATTTATCTCTGGTTCATGTCATTATAGATTCAGGTTGTTAAAGAATGAGCGCATACTTTCTGAGTCATTTTCTTCCAGGAATGGTGTAGCTTGAGACAGCACTTTTGAAATCTGCATTATATCTTTCAGGACAATATGTATTTGAGGGCAGCCAAAGATTACCGGCATAACTTTGGAACTTATGAAGTCTAAATCTATATTTTATAAACAATTGGACACTTAGCACAACACTGGAATAAAAAGAGGGTATACCTGTCTTAGCTCAGTAGAGGTCATTCTGATCAACAGAAATCACACTTAAAATAAGTAGAGGAGATGCAGAGGGCGCCATTGTTGGCATATTTCATATGTAAGTTGACACCATTGGAAGTATCAAGAAACGGCCTCTTTCTTTCTCTTTTTGTTAAAGATTTTATTTATTTATTTGACAGAGAGATAGAGAGAGATCGCAAGTAGGCAGAGCAGCAGACAGAGGGAGAGGGAGAAGCAGGCTCTCTGCTAGTAGGGAGCCCGACGCAGGGATCTATCCCAGGACCCTGAGATCATGACCGGAGCCAAAGGCAACCGCTCAACTGACTCGAGTCACCCAGGTGCCCCAAGAAATGGCCTCTTTCTAAATGAAAATTAATCCAACCCAAAGTATGAACACGGCATCACTTCAAAAGTGAATCTTCACATGAATCATCATCTGTGATTCATTCTTCCCCATATTTTAACATTGTACACCTTCATTTATCTGTCCATTTATTTAGCAAATATGTACACTCATGCCAAACATTATTATGCTGGTGAATAGCTCAGAGATGACATCTGCCCTCAAAGAGTTCACAGTCTAAACAGAAAGAGAAAAGGCATCAGCAATGACAAGGCACTGTGTTCACGTAACCCCCCAAGTGCCATGGGATTCTGAACCAGACTTGGGCAAAGTTGAGCCTAAGACCGAAAAGGCTAGATGAGAAGGGTGGAGAGCAGTTTATCCTTACCTTTTGTATTTCTCCCCCAAATAGAATTTCCCCTGAAGAGTGAGCCACTTTCCCCCTTTTAAACCACAGTCTAAATTTGATCAAGATTTCCACATGTTGATATTGATAAAAATACCACTAAATATTAGGAATGAAGAGGAAAAAAATGCAGAATATACAAACAGCACAGAAATAGTCAAATTTTCAAAGTGTAAGGTTTTGATCCTTAAGATAACTACACATTGAGTCCAAAGAAGTAGTTAGTGCATCTTTGCTTACATCTAGCCTTGAGTTCTGCTCTCTTCAATCCACATCTTCTTGGGGAAGGGACATTTGTTTCTATCAGTGGGGAAGGAAAGTTCTAGTAACTGTCCATTTCCCAGGAAAAACTAAAAAAAAAAAAAATTACTTCACATAAATACCTTTCATTCTTAATCTCATTCCTGGCAAATGAGAGAATTTTTCTCCCCACATCTAACTGACATGTCTAAGGTACCCAACAAAATGAATGATCGCATGCTCATAGTACAAAAAGTGATGATTTTGCCAGTATTACTTTCATGATGTAACACCATGTGTAATATGCACATATACAATAAGAAAGGATACTAAAAATTATAGAAAAGTAAGAAAATACCCAAATCATGATGAAGACTTAACAAAGGAAGGCATGACCTAACTTCTAGGGGCTCCTACTGACCCAATCTGTCTAGTGTGAGTACCAAAATAGTGACGTTGATGCATTTTAACCCATCGAACAAAATCATTATTTATTCATCTCTACTGATATAAATAAATTAATGTGGGAGATAGAAACTTTCCTTACTGTAGAATGCAAACTAATACATATAGATGGAATTAGAAAACCCACATTTGGAAATCATCATTGTAATAATTGATTCAGACAAAAGTCATCAGTGTCTAAAGGATGAAAGTTTAAAGAGTGAGAAGATAATATGTAGTTTCAAATATCTCCACATGAGGGAAATTTGTCACTTTATGGTCGAGAAATATGGTAGCCAATGCCTTAACCAACTGATCAACGTTCAGTGCCTTCTGATATGGTATACTGTGAAGAACAGGGCATCACTGTTCCTATTAAAATCCCATAATCTGAGTTTAAAATGAGGAAACATCACATAAGCCAAAGGTGGGAGACACTCAGAAAATATCAGGTCTACACAGATCCAAAATATCAAGATCACAAAAGGTGAGAAAAGACTGACCAAAATATTCCACACTGAAGACTAAAGAGAAATGATGCCAAAATGCAACACACAATTCTCGATTAAATCCTAGACTGGTTGGAAAAATGTTTTTCTGCTACAAAGGCCATTTTTGGGACAATTGCTGAAATAAGAATGGGTTTCTAGGATTAGAAGGTAATATTTTTTTTAACATCAATCTGATTTTGTTGGATGTACTAGAGTTATGTAGGAGGAGATTGTCATTTTCTTTTAGAAAATACAATGGGTATTTCAGGTAATAGGCCATCATGTCTGCAAATTATACTCAAATATTTCAAGGGGAAAAAATAAATGATAGAGATAGAGACAAATATAACATTTGGTCAAATGTTAATAACTGGGGAACTTGCGAGCATTTTTTTTGGTTTGTTTTTTTATTTTATTTTATTTTTTTTACTGTTCTTGCAACACGTTTGTTAATGTTTAAATTATTTCAAAATAAAAAAATTAGTGAAGCAAATATGGAACCAAAAGGTAAGTGGCTTTATCTATATTTCAATGTTACTTCATACTTTCTCAAGCATTATCCTATACTACACTGAAGGTAAAATTACACTTCAACTTATTTTTTCTTCATCTTATGTTTGGTCTTCTGCCTCAATGGACAACAGTTTTTAACAAAACATACACAGGTTGTAATGTATGACTAATATACAAACTTGCAAAAATAATTTAATCATTAAGAAATTTTAAAAAGCTTATGAAATTAAAAAAAAGTCTTGATCTTATTGCTTTCTTTTTCCAGCTGATGTAAATGGAACAATTTAGAATCAGACATTCAGCTTTGTTCTTGATAGACACAACAATACAACTCAATTTGCTCACCCTTTCTCTCTTTGCTAGGTTTCTTATGTCAAAGCTATTGACATTTGGATGGCAGTATGCCTCCTTTTTGTGTTTTCAGCACTTCTGGAATATGCAGCTGTAAATTTTGTATCAAGACAACACAAAGAACTTCTGAGATTTCGACGAAAGAGAAAGAATAAGGTAGGCAATTAAAAGCATCGGGTTTGGCGGGATACCAGTTTTCACTGAAAAGTAAATTTGTTATATGAAATAGAGTGGTGCAGAGAGGAAGTGAAGTCTGAGAACCAAAAGATACAAATATTTCTTTGGTTTTGTCCAATCGAAACAGAAATTGTCAAAAATAGCTTCAGGGATAAAATGGTGACGTGCAGTTCTACTTTTTACACAGCCTATCTACTAGCATGAGAGCTTTATCAACCTCTTTCTAATGTACTTCTTGGAACAACACCATTTTTTGCTTCAATTACCAAAATGTATCATTTCTTACTTGCAACATGAAAGTGTTCCTGATGGTCTTACTTGACATGTCACTGGCTATAGCTATTAAGTTGTTCCTTTTATCAAACAAATTCCTTTCATCGTTTCCATGAAATACCACCTATTTGTTAATGCTATGATGTTCATGTAGAACTATGTGGTCTCTTGCTCATGCATACTTTCATGTTTTTAATATATTTATACTGAATATTTATACTGATTTATACTGAATCTCTAAAGATATTTATACTGAATTAAGATATTTATACTGAAACACAAGAAGGTGTTATTATTGCCTTGCCATACCTGTTAAATGAAACCCAGAAGAAATTGTATTGAGAATATCATTAGAAGACCACAGGAAGTTGCAGAAGTAATCTCATAATTGAATTTGGATGTACAGAATGGAGTTGTTCCCCTCTATTAGGACTTGTAATGTTTTCTTTATGTGCACATGAGCCCGATCAACCCCCTTTCTTCTTCTGGAAGGGAGAGTTTCTATTGACCAGCATATCTATGAGTTTACTTCTTTTCATGTGAATGTGCCAACTGACATTTAAAAGCAAATGGACGCATATGCAATAGAGAACTATCAAAGTTTATGCAATAGGAGAAATTATGGCCAGAATCTGATGTATTGGAATATTTAAGTCAAAACATACTAAAACCTTAGAAATAATACTCTGGTTCATATAAGATGCATTTTTAAGGACTTTGAAAGGATTTAATTTTTCTTGAGGTTTTCTTGTGGTTTCTGAATTATTCACTATAATTTACATGTTCATAAAATTTTTTAAAGCCCTAAGCCCATGATCTCTCAGTACTGAGCATTAAACATATTCTAAAGTAATAATGAATTCAGTCATGTCTAATTGACTCCCTCATCATGATAAATACCCAAATCTCAGTATCATGGAAGGAACATCAAGGACTGTGATCCTCTGAGTAACTCATGGGTGGGACGAAAACAGTGTCTGAGCTTTTATTTGATCAAGTTGGTATGAAAATAAAAGCACATCATTTGTATATTGAAACATATTTTAATAGAGAGGTTCACTTTTCTCTATCTCCTTCTCCCCACCACACCCCCATCTACAGGTTTCATTATACTTTTCTTCATCTTTTTCTCTCTCTTTCCTCCCCTTTTTTCTCCCTCCCTACTGCCTACTTGCTCCTCTTTCCTCTCATGACACTTGGCACTGGATGAAACACTATCACAGGACAAAAAATGCTGCATCATAACAGTAAAGTTCCTGTTTTCCTTTCCCTTAAATGACTGATACAGACGATTTTTCCTTCTAATGTCATTAATCTGAAGTAAAGTAATACTTATTTACCTTTCTCATTTTGGTTTGCTTTTTCACTTTTATTTTTCCATTTCTCTGCCTTTCTCCTCCTTCCTATACAATGTAGAATGTATCAACCAGGTGCTGGAAAATACTAGATATATGATGTCCAAAGGGCGATTGAGAGTTCACATTCCACACCCACCACACATCCAACAGCCACAGTGTCCAATGGGTAACAGAATAGACTGTAACTGTAGATGCTCAGTTTTGGTTCTCCTTTAAAAAAAAAAAAAATTATCCTACCAAAGTAGCTCTTGAGTTTCACTCCCAGTAAGAATATCAGGATATATAGTGAAGCCCATAATTTTTTACTCACAGAAAGATGACAAGATTAAATTTTCTAATGAGTGGCTCTCTAGGAAAATATAGAAATGCAAGAAGAGTAGTATCTTATTATTTTCTAATGACCAGTTGAAATATTCAGGGATATTGTAGTGGAGATTTAGTGCAAGAAAAAAAAATAGGGTTTTTGTTTTGTTTTTAGTTCATTTCATATTTGGGGGGTTGGATACCTTGCATATGTGAAAATTGATTAATTTGATACATATGTATGTGTAAATGATATATGCAATTAAAAACAGTTGTGCAATTATATTTACTCATATATGACTTGATTCTCTGGTTTCTCAATCCCTTGGTCCACTTTACCTTCCCACAGACAGAAGCTTTTGCATTGGAGAAGTTTTACCGTTTCTCAGACACGGTAAATTCACTTTCTTAACTCTAAGTAGAGGAATGTGGTCATCAGTGGAAAAAGCAGAGAGCGTATTCTGCACCCATGCAGTGTTTGGTGGGGAAACATGGCCCCTTGCATAGTTAAAGTTAAACAATCACCATGCCCCTTCAGCTAAGGATATTCTCTTTTTCAAACTCCATTTGTCTTCCCTCACTCAGTAAAAAATATTTAAATATTATCCTTCATCTAATCAACTGAGTTATTTGATTGGTCAAAATGATCTTTAAATATACATTAAACAGAAATAACACATATAATCTTATAATAGTCTACATGAAAGAAATAGTCATTTGTCTTGACAAAATTAGTTCTAAAAATTCATAGAAAATGTATTTGTACAAATAAGTTCTAAATGCACCCTTTCTTGTCAGAAAATAGAGAACTATAAGTAAGGCAAAAATAAAATACTTTGTTCAACCTATGTATCTCTAGAATCCCTTCTTAATGTTAAGAGAAGTTGAGATTCTTTATAATAAAGGAGCGATTTTGGTTTTTTGATGGCAGCATCCTTTGAGATGTTTGATTAAAAAGAGATCACAAGGTCACATGTCCAAGTATAATAGCTAAATAGTTAGAAAGGTAGTCTATGCTAGAGCGATTAGTTTTTGGACTTGACCACTATAATATAGCATTCAATGATTGCATTTAAACACACTCAAGCCAAGAATTTGGGCTGGGAAATAATAAACAGTCCAGTCTATTAAAACTAAATTTCTAGGGTCGCCTGGGTGGCTCAGTTGGTTAAGCGGCTGCCTTCAGGTCATGATCCCAGCGTCCTCGGATCGAGTCCCACATCGGGCTGCTTGCACAGCAGGGAGTCTGCTTCTCCCTATGCCTCTTCCTGACACTCTGTCTGCCTGTGCTCACTCTCTCTGACAAATAAATAAAATCTTTTTAAAAAAAACCAAAAAACTTAATTTCTGAAATAAAGTGCAATTAAACATACCTCCCCAGATGATTCTGCTGCACATCTTGGTTAAGAATGGATATAACATTAGATGCACAGACCAGAAACATGTTACATTCATCTAATTGAAGGTTTCTCAATTTCATACCACGTATCTAGAGCCAGTATTATTTTAAAGCATTTACTAAGTTTTCTTATATTATAACATGTAATCATTCAATTATTTTTTCTACTAATATTGTATATTTGTTCCCAACATAGCTAGCCACTTCCCACTTCACTTTTATTTTTTCATCCCTGGGGGGAAAAATTCACTTGATCCAATTACTTTTACTTAATTATCTTAACTATAAATTTTGACAAATTTTAATTGCTTTGTGTTTGCATAACACAAATAGCTTCTTTGGGAGAAAATATATTTAAATTTCTAGTAACTAAGCAGTTAATGCTTATAGGAGCTTTAGTATAAAAAATACATTTAATTAAGTATTGCTTTACAAGAACAATGCACAAAGAAGTCTGATGACAACTTAGGTTTACTTCAGCAGCAATCAATCAATACTTGTTTTTAAAAAAGAAACAGTATGGTAATGCAAAGACATTCATTAGAAATTTATGCATTCCATTTATTTTGTAATAATGCAAATTTGGGGGTGATCATTTTGACTTTTTGAAAACTATTTTTCTCACCCGAATGACCCTCTAGGCTGACCAAATTCATCGTTTTTTAAAAAAAAAATATGTATTTTGCTGAGAAACAGAGCAATGTAAATCTTTAAATCAACATAATCTAAATGAGTCTAAATGAGCTAAATGTTGGCCCCAAGCCCTTTATCTTCACGAGTATGGACTTAACATAGTTTTCCCAAGCACTCTAAGTTGGCAGAATAGGCAAAGTAAATAAAATAGCCTCAATATAAAATGTTTGTTACAGCAGGGGACCTTACACTATTCCTAGGAAAGTTTTAACTTGGTTCAGCATTGGCTTAGCATTGTATGGAATCTCTTATATCTGACCTTTTCCCTATTAAGGTACAAGCGGTCTTTTGTGAAAGACTACAAGTTTGCTCTTGCATCCAAAGTTCCCCACCCCACACTGTCATAGCCTGCTGTGTGCTGACTACCCACTGCACCATGTCATAGACGCTTCTCCCCAGTGCTGTATATGTATGGGTGTATGCATGATATGAAAATACTTTGGTCAGAAGTTTGCTCTTCCCACGTGTGATATCATCACTTTAGTCCTGCAAGGGTATAAAGATGTGCCAAAATGTTTCTGAATCTATGTTCTTTTTTAAAAGAAATGGCTGATACGGGGTTGCATTTCACGTAGCTTCTCCTGCATCACGGTGTACTGATGCAATGGTTTGCGGAGAGAAGACATGACCCACGGTATTCTAGCGCCTCTAGCTTCCTGCTTGTTATTGTGTAGTCATTATTATGTATATGCTCAGATGAAACAAAGGTGGACCGTTAGTTCTAGATTTGAGAAACAACCACCAAGTTTAGATTCTGCGAGCCACGATGGTTATCTTTTTACGATTAAGGTATCACTGACTGCATTTTGACTATCTGTACAAAACTTGTCATTATTTTATTGACTTACGTGTTTACATGCTGTCTTACTTCAAAAATAACTCAGGGTAATTTCTAAGGATAACGAATGATTGTTTTTACTAATGTATATCTGAATGACTCTGATTTACAGGGGTTTGAAATTTTATCCTCTCAGGTAAAGCAGATATTGTAAGAATTTAATGATTTCCTGCAAACAAATATCTGTAGTTTGTGCTAAATACACCTAATTCTTAGAGCTATGTCCCTTTGAAATATCTGATTAGGAAAATAGTATTCAACAAACTAATACAATCTCTACTTAATCTAATTTTACATGCATTACAGTGAATTTCATCTCAAATTAAAGTGTACATACTGCCTTTACACAAATTGTCTATTTATAATGTATTATTTTATGTCAGTCCATAATTCTGAGTTCACACTAAATGAATCTAACATATTGTGCTAGGACTAGATATATGTGTGTTTAAAAAGTATTTTATTGATTTTTCATCAATCTCCTAAAATGTATGTGTTCCATTTTTATATTGTTTTAAGTGTTCATCTTTTTAAGCTTATATTTTACCATTTAACAACTTCCAGACCATTTCTGAATCTAAATTCAATACACCAGACATGAACTTGGCTAATTCATAACTAATTCACGTGTCATCAATAATAAATGCAAAATTCTCCTGGGAATTAGATTTCAAAGAATTTTATATTGACAGTTGACTTGCAACTATGAAGTATCTTTAACGTCATCTCTAATTTTTTTTAAGCTTTCCAAATTTCAAAATAATATAGAAATGTATATAGATGTGTTAAACTGAATATCTTATTTTCAACTGTTATTTATTTTGGAAAAAGAATTTTTAGTTTATTCACATATTTCATCTTACCTCAGCATTTTCTAAGCGATGGTGATTTTTCTCAACAAAAATAAGCCATTGTTATGTTCCTTAGTAATTTTTTTTCCAAATCCACACATTGAAATCATGTAAGTGGAAATTAATAGCAATTCACTTTTCCTTCCTTTGTCACTTTCCTATTTGGCAATTAGAAGTTATGGAAAATAATTTCAACAGAAAGGCCTCTGGCATAATTACTGAACATCTTGAGTGTATATAGAACACACAAAGGCACCTACCAGGGGAGAAACATTAGGATGAAAATAATGTATTTAATGGTGGTGTATCTCACAGCAGTTCACACAATAAATCATCACTCATGCTATCTTAGAGGATCCATGTTTTATTACCACTCATTAGTAAGCTTCATGTCTTCACCATTTCCACACCCAAAAATAAGATTTTTTTTCTTTGGTCATTTTTGAGGACTAAGAAGAGGATAGGAAATTAATTCTTATCTCACATGTATGTTAATATATATCTTTTTGTGATGGAAATGAAACAATTCAACTGAATGACAAAGTCTAGGCCTGGATTTTCTATTTTTAATATTTCTAGTTATAATATACATGTTAGTGTGAGTCAGTCTTTGGCCTAATCCTCTAAGAAAATGAAAAAGTATATAGAATGTTTCCCAGTGTGGTATCGATGCTTAATTACTGAAACATTTTTCTCACTTTCAAACTTAGTGAAAACGGGTCCTCTTAGTGAAAGAATTATATACTAACTAAATGGATTTTTACATTTTTCATTGCCTACCCTTCTAACTTGCTTAAAGCATATTAGGAAGGTTTTACCTGTGAATAAATTAAGCCATTTCTTCACTTTTACCTTTTTAATCAGCCATGTTCTTTTGCTCATTTTTAATTCATTCTATTTAATCTTTATTATTGCTTATATTTTGAGTTGGAAAGTGCTTAACTTTATGAATATCAAATATTGGCTAACACATAGTGTTGGATACAAAAGTTTTAGATGTTTGTCTAGACCCTTTGCTTATTTGTCCTTTAGTCTATTAGAAACTCAAGCTAAAGATGACTGCAGAAAACTGAATTATGCCCAAGACATATTTGAGTACTAATTGGAATAAAGAATATCACTGCACAGCTAAACATACATAAACACAGGGTAATTTTAAGACTGAGTTTTACAAAACAAAGAAATTACTTTAGTCATAAAATAGTTTGCTGCTCCTTCTAATATAATAATCTAATACTAATAGTGATCTATTAGAAATGCTTCATCCGGGGCGCCTGGGTGGCTCAGTGGGTTAAGCCGCTGCCTTCGGCTCAGGTCATGATCTCAGGGTCCTGGGATCGATCCCCGCATCGGGCTCTCTGCTCAGCAAGGAGCCTGCTTCCTCCTCTCTCTCTGCCTGCCTCTCTGCCTGCTTGTGATTTCTGTCTGTCAAATAAATAAAAAAAAAAAAAAAAAAAAAAAGGAATGCTTCATCCATTCTTAAAATTATTCTTTTAAGTGTAGCTTTGGGGGAAAAAGAAAAAAAAACAACTGCTATAGCCCAGTAATTTAACAACACAATGACAACAAAATCACATGATTTTTCTGCACTCCAAGGGTCCTTGTTCTCTCCC